AGCCAGCTCCTCCAAATCAAGACTCTGGCTTGATTGTACAATCCACTCAGAGGACAGTTACCATCTGTTTATGGAAAAAATGTTAATAACCCCCAAGCATAATCAAATAGGCAACCACTTTACTTTAAGTACCTATTAACTAACGCTAATTTACAATGGAACAGGCCTGCCAGTGCTCATCCACAGGCCCATCAGAGGCACCAGCACGCATCCAACCATCAGGAGGAAAAGCCAGCGGCTGCTGATGAGGCACTTATGGCACCACCAGAAGCCCCAGCAGCCGTCCCTCGTTCCCTTCCTTCCCAGACGTCCAGCTTCCGCTGTCCCACCACACAGTCTCCACCATGTCCGGAAAGAAATGAAAGAAATACTCTCAGCCTGGGAACAGAGGTGAGATTCCTCCATCAGCTCCTATGTCTCCCCCAGGCCAGGTTGAGAAAAGTGGATTAACAGGCATTTTTGAAAGCCCCATTCAAGTGGGACAGCGTTCAAAGATAATTAGAAAAAGCATTGGAAGAACTGAGCTGATTTATTCACAATCCACCTTCATCTCCCAGTCCTTCCCAGGCTCTCTGCACACACCAACTATGCAGGGAAGTGGGGCCAGGATGCTCCAGCTAGCTGTGTGCTCTGGTATCTGGTCTCAGTTTCCTTATCTGGACAATGGGGACATTAGCCCAATAAGCCTAAGGTCTGTTTCAGCTCTAAAAACTCTTATTCTGTTTCCTCCGTGGGAGTAAGAGGAAGCCAAGAAGTATAAGGTTAATTCTCAGAGTATCTCTGATCTAGAAGCATTTAAAGATACAAGGTAGTCATGAGAAAAAGAGGCCAAGTAATGTATACTCTTTACAGGCTGCAAAAGATCCACATGCTTGCTTCTTTCCCCATTCAGTGGTAATGATGCGCACCTTATGTGAAAACTACAGGGCATATTCTATTACTGTTCAGGCACGGTAGCATCTTTTACCTGGTCTTGTTCTAACCACCACGTGGAAGGAGGGTGGTGCATTGGGGTGTTCCAAGGCACTTGGAAGGGGCAGCCAAGACAAGTCATGTGTGATGCCATGACAGGTGGGTGGGGCTGCAAGGTAGGGAGTTCTAGATGTAACTCAGCCTACTCAGACTACGAAACTGGCCTCAGTTTCTTCATCTGTAAATACGGACACTGTTAGGTCCCTCGAACTGAGAACCTGACTTTCAGAAAGCCCCCACCCTTCGGTTTTGTTTCTCTGTTTTGTTCCTCTAAGTTTCTATCTCCCTAAGTCTCTGTTCCCAGGAGCAGGCTGAGCAGGCCGTACCTAGAGTCTAACATTGTAACCGTTTCCCTCTGTTAGCCCAAGGTTTCTGTCTCCCCCAGTCTCTGTTCCCATGAGCAAGCTGTACCTGGAATGGAACATTGTGACAGTCTTCTTAGGCCAGGCCAGATGCCAGTCTTAACCCTACGAAAGGGACACCCGACTGCCTCTCGGTGCTGATGCCATTTTTCAGCTCAACCCAGCAGGTCTGCTTGCTGCTTGCTAATAAAATCTTTTCTTCCTTTACCTGGCTAGCATCTCCTTCCTCAGCGACCTTACAGATACAAGAGGCTCCACTTAGATCATTGTCATGGCCTTTTGATGCCTAATTTGAAAATATTTTGTGAGGATGGACTTGGCATAAATTCTGAACCATCTCACTTTCAGGTCCAGGATGCACTGGCACAATATAATTTTTTTATATACATTTCCCTATTTCCAGTAAATAGCGCCTATCCTGAACCTAACAAGTACCCACCTCCCAATCACTCTGTCCACCCCATGATCTGGCAGTTAAAGAGTTAAGGCCTGGCACAGTGGTGATCCTCAGGGGCCCTGCTCCAGCCAGGCCATATCAGTGACTCTAGGGATCACCCCTGCCACTCTCAGACACTCGGCTTTATCAACAGCAAAAAGAAACCCCCGTGATACACTCAGCTCCATTTTAAAACCTTTGTGATTCCAAGAGATGACCTCACATCCTAACGTGACCCCTCCCAAGCCAAAATTGTGATCAACAAGATGGCAGTTGATCGAGTCGGGCATAGAAAGAGAAATACCACATGTTCTCACTTTTATATGGGAGCTAAAAATAAATAAATAAATAAACAGACAAACAAAGGGTTGGAGGGAGAAGATACAATAATCACAAGAGTTACTTGAACTTGTTAAGACAAGTGAACACATATGATGCAGTGGGAGGGGGGGAAGAGGAACGGGTAAAGGGACATGAAAACCAACTACGATGTATACTTAGAAGTTAAGATAAAAAAACATGGGGGGAAATATTTTTTAAAAAAGGATTGCAGTTGATAAAAGTAAAGAGGAGTCTGAGACGTCCGTGGTTTCTGCTGTAAGTCATTCCTGCTCTAGTATGACAGACAGATGATGTGTGAGCAAAAAAAAAAAAAAAAAAATGACAGTGCACTAGGGTGAGTGTGTGGTAAAGGCATTTTCACTTAATACTGTGTGGGACAAAAGAGGGCATGGTCGAGTCTTGGGAGGGCAATCCTTCCTGGAAGGACAATAAAAGGAGCCTATAAAGGTTTATACATGAAGAAAAGAAGGGGGAATGGTACCCACGGGGCCTCTTTTATATGCCAGTTGCACCCTGATCTCAATGCTCACAGCAACCCAATGAGAAGGTAGCAATATTCCCATGTTACAGTTGAAGCAGAGGCTCCGAGAAGTTAAGTAACTTTGCTGAAGGCAAAGAGCAATTAAGTGAAATCACAGATTCCCACGCAGATGTGAAAATTCAAAGTTGAGAATGGGGTGAACGGAAAGATACGGGGGTTCATAAGGCAGAGCTGGGGGACTTCTGCTACCCACATCATCACTCTTTTTCCTAGACTGGGATGCTCACTAGCAATAAAAGATCAAAGTTATGTGCAGTTTGAGGCATTTGCTTATTTATCCTTTAATGAGACCTAAATGCAATGCTTCCTGTGACTTAATAAAGATCAGAGAGATGCAGGCTTCCTTTAAACAGGATCAGTCGAGGATATACCATTTCATCTTGCCTCCAACTCTAACCTAACTTCTTCAGGTGCCTGACTTTAGAATAGGGGATATTTCACCTCCACCTACGAGGACCTGTTCTCCTGACCCAACCAGGCCAAGGAAGGCAGCTCAGCCTGGGAGAGGGGAGCAGGAGCCGGGAGAGGCTCTGAGGACAGCTGACGGGAGGCACCGCCCTGGGTGCCGCCTAATCCATCCGACATGGGGACACACTGTTCCAGAAACCGGATGGCAACTAATAGGAAAAACCTGCTCTCACAACACTGCCAAGCCTGTCGCAGAGTCTCAGCTGGTGGTGCACTTCCTCAGGAGAGGAAAGCAATAATGGCCCATTCTTCCCTTTGGTCAAGGCCCTAATGTTTTCTCAGGTGGAAGGAGGATGAGCTAGGAAGGTTCCTGTCATGGTTGGAAAATTTTGCACAAGCAACAGTGCCAGTCCTCAAAGCCAGGAGCCCAAGGATTATCCTAAGATTGAAGGCTCTGAGCTTGCTCAGTGGTCACCTCATCTCCTACACCTGTGAAGCCTTGTTTAGCACTCAATGTGTGCTGGCAGAAAAAACATCTTCAGTCAAGGTGCCTGAGAGTGGTCTGATCTTGTTTAAGTCATCAAACTTCTATCCCCTCTTTACAATTTGTATGCACATGTATTTCTCTTGGTCAAAATATTTCACATAATTCAAGAAAACCTGGCTTGCTTGCTGTGACTTGCTCAGGTTCATCATGCGCTGAAGAGAGCCCAGAGGCAGAAGGCTCCTGGGAAACCTGGCAATCTGTCCCCATATTTTTTGCCCTTCTCTGCCTCTCTGGGTGTCCCTTCCTTTATATCAGTGTTCTAAACTTATATGGGAGTCCTAGAATCTTTTGAGAATATAGTAAAAGCTATGGACTAGTTCAATTTCATGTACACTCAACCCCTCACCATGTGCAAACACTCAAACATTTGCATACAAGTTCAGAGGATCACTGTCCCCATGAATGTCATTCAAGTGCCTTTCCCCAGTCCCTGAGCCCCAGGGTCAGGGCCCCCACCACAGATGCCAGCTCATGTGTAGAAGCCATAGAAATCCATCTCTCTAGATCATTCTGTCTCACCAGAAAACACCAGCCTGAATCTTGGCCCAGCAACTGATGGCTTATCAAGCCTTTCATCATCTCTCCCCTCCTCCCCCTCCCAACATCAGCCATCCATGGGAATCCCGGCTGGGAGTATTTCTTAAAATTCAATTTTCAGTTTTGGAACTGGTACCCAGTAACCCTTGAGCCATTTGGTCACATCCGTCTCTGGGACCAGGCAGGTGGATGCTAATTCACCATGTTAACCCCTTTCATGCCAGTCCCCTTACCCAAGCCCTGGCGGAGAGCCACATCCCACTCCCCCACCCCTGCCATAATGGCGTTAAGTGCTCTGTGTCATGGAAACTGGCCAGCAGATTTAGAAGTCATGTTGCTCTTGGCACTCATTCTGGGATTCTGTGTAGAGCTACGTGCTGAGATACCATTGCATGAGCAGTCTTACAATGCCAGAATCTACCACCCTACATCTAGCTATGCTAAAACCAACACCACTCCAAAGAGGGGTGTAGACAAGAGAAAAATCAAGTTAGTCAAACTGGGAGTCCCTTTACCTACAAAAAATAAAAAGAATCCTAAGTCCTTTTCATTTGCCCTTGAATCTAACCTCCTTCCCAAATTATCCTCATTGCACAAGCCCATCCAAGCAATGTTTATCAGCAGTCAAAGCGAAACCATGTGGTGCACAGTCTGGTTCCCACGAATCCCAGCATTGCCCTCAAGCCATAATTACCAAAAACAAGGGTGTGGACAGACGTCTCCACCAAGACCACTTAAGCCCCACGACCTGAGGCCATCTCAGAGAGCAAAGGGAGATGACAACAGTATCTTTTGATCAAAAGTAGCCATGTTTCCCTCCCCACGAAACCCTTGAGAATGAAAATCCCACCTTACCCTTCATCCCAAATTTGGACCGTCGACCATACTTGTTGATCATGATAAAGAGAACCACCAACAGGACACAGGCGAAAGCAGCAAGTCCAACTGCGATGGACACCTATTAGGAGCCAAAACCAGACAGTCAGAAACAGTCATGGAAACCCCAAGTGCCTTACAAGTAACATGTGTGCCCAGATGAGAACACCCCTACTGCAGTAGCAACTGTAACCTTCTCAGAACTTTGCTACTGAGTAAGGTCTTTAGAAGGAATAATCTATGAAAAGCTAAGAACATTAAAAAATATATAAATTACCCAATTTGATTAAAGAAAGTTCCATGATTTAAATGTTCTGAGCCCCCCTCTATCCCCAGGGCCACCCTAAGAGATGCAAAAGCAAGCCCAGACAGGTTCTGCCTATTGCTGTTTTAATTAGTGAGCAAATTCTGCATCTTCGCATTGAATTTCTTTACATAGTCTTCCTATCCAGGAAGGTCAAAGAAATCTGGACTCCAAAAAAATCCTTTCCTCTCCTCCACAGAGAAATCTCAGCTCTGAGAGAGCAGAGGAGGGGTCTTGAAAAACCCACCCAAGAAGATGCCCTGAGCAACTTGGACTTTCATAGAAGGTTGTACAGTCAGCAGCCCCTGCGAATCAGGCCCTGCCCGGCTCCTAACAGACTGGGGATTTTCGAACTGTTCTCTTCCAAACTCTAGGGCTTACAGCAGATCCTCCAAGACTTCCTCAAAAATGAACTATTCCCATCAAATGGAAGGTTTAGACTGCCTGAAAGGAGGCTATTCGTCATTGCTTTTTTCCCCGCCATACGTACTGAGATTCCAAGTAAGATTGGAGATGCTAGAAACTCAAATGAAGACTGAAAACTACTGCACCAGTAAACACGCTCCTCCTCACCAAGCAGTGACTCACCCCAAAAGTGTCTTCCTCAGGTTTGTGGGTCACAGTGATAGGAGGTGTGGGGCTCACTTCATCAACTGAAAACCAAACACAAAGGGAGGAGGGCAGTTAGTTTACTGGCCGTGGGAGGCTCAGCCACAGTCCTGCCCAACTCCAAGCCCCCTTGAGACTTCCTGTTGGAGAACATCCTCTGGAAGGCAAGCTCTTGCAGCCTGCCAACCCCCCGTCAAAGCTTTGCAGGGGCCCCCAGGTCCCCTGTCTGGCCACCCGGCTGGTGCTACAGCTCAAGGACAGGCTCCATAAGGACTAAAGGACCTTTGCTCCCATGCTCTTCCTCCACCCCAGAAAAAATAATGTAACCTGGGCAATGTGGACCATGCGCTGTGGGGTGGAAAAGAGGAAAATGGTTTGGGTTCTGGCCAGGGTCTGGATTAGGCAAATTTTACTGGCAATGGCAGCTGTTGCCGACATGCTGCTCTCTACTGAAGGCATTTCTTTTCCTTTCCCTGCTTCTCCCAAGCCCTTCTCTTTCCCTCTTTACTCCTTAGTAAGATCCTGTGGCCCCATAAACAATCCTCTAGCCATTCCTCCAACATTGATTTCAGAACACAATGGCAGTCCGAGTTAAAAAACAGAAGCAACTGACCAGGAAACACCACCTTTACCCAGCAAGGCTCAGATGGGAAGCCAAGGATCAGCCTGTCCTCCATCTAGAATCGCCTTGGCAAGAAATGGCCCTAATTCAGAATTCCCTGAAGGGACATTCAGTGAGATTAAAAGTCCTCTAAGACCGAGGACAACTAAAGGGATCACAGATGATATTTCTATCAGTGCAAAACAGCCGAGGGTATTCCTAGACAGGATTGGTCTATCTCAGGCCAGACTCTGGGCAGAAATGACAGTGATTGCCGCAGTTATTCCCACCTGCCACGGGGAACAAGAGACAACAGGGAAAATATAGGTTTCCTCCACAGCCCACAAGCACAACCCCAAATCCTTTTAGGATTGTCTAGCCCTAACCCCAAATCACTTATAAACTGAGCCTCAATAATTCCTTATGAGGACACAGGAGCCTATCAGGAACCTTGTAAATCCCAGCTATACCCGAGGTGGGTCCTGGCCAAATTCCCGGGCTCTTGAAGCAGGTGAAAACCCCTAGCAGGGTTATAGGCTCCATGTTCTCTCTGTAAGAACTGAGATGATTAACAGAGTCTACTGGGGCACATGAAACTCCACATCCATCCTAACACAGCCCCTTTTCATCTGGGTTGGGAGATCCACAACAAGTTCACACCTTAGAAAACTCCCTGAGGGAAACTGAGGCACAGAGTGATTATTCAACAGTGGGCTTGGAAATGCCCAAAAAGCATTTCTGCCCTCCGATTCCTTTTCACAATTCACTCAGATGCCCTCAGATGCCATGAGTCTGGGAAGGATGTGGAATAGGAAAGAGGGCTATTTGGATTCAATAGTTACCAAAAGTATCAGAATAAATCTAGCAAAAGGTAAAGCAGACTTACCTGAATCAAAGTTATCCGTGCTCTCTGCAAAAAGGACAAAGAGATAATTAACAGATGTAATAAAAACCAGAACAAACACATCATATCCCCCTAACAGCTATGACCTGTCCCATTCACCGTGATCCCTTGTTCCCACAGCAATTAACAAACTAAAATGTTTGGCACATCACCCTCCCCCCCATGCTACACTACTGCATTAGAGGTGGTTGTCCAAATGGAAAAGGAATGACACATAAAGCTCCTGGTTTCAAGGGAAGTAGCCCATCTGGGAACTAGAAACCAAACTGGTTTCATTATGAGATGGGGAGTTAAATGCAGACCCACTGACTCACTCACGGCCCTGGGTGCTGGGGATGGCTCCGCTGGGTGGGCTCCCCTGGACCTTTCTTGAAAATGCCAGTTATGATCTCAAGATGAAAATCCTCCAATTGATATGTGAAGTTGATTCTAGTAGGTCACTGAGAAGCTCTTAGAAATCCCTCCAGAATCTGGCCATCCCCCAGATAGAAATGTGTTATTTGATCTCTGGCCTCTAGAAATAGCTCATCTAATAATGAAAGTTAATCCTTATCGGACATTGATTATGAGCCAGGAGCAGTGCTAAACGCATTATGTAACATACCACTCAATGCTTATAACCATCCTAGGAGGTGGATGGCATTACCCCCATTTAACAAATAAGGAAACAGGTTTATACAGTTCAAGTAACTGATCAAACGTCACTCATCTAAGAAGGGGTTAGAGTTGGATTCCAATCCAAGTCTGGGCTCTTAACCACTCTATCAGAGATGCTCAAACTTTAGCACACAACAGAATCATCCAGAAGGTGATCACTGTCATCCCCCAATAAAAGGAATGAGAATTCCTTGGGAAAATGGATGATTTCAGGGCTGGGGCGGGGAAGGTAAAAGATGTGCCTGTAAAAGCTCGTGATACTAGAAAGTAAGAAAAGTGCTCAGGGGTCAATGGGAACCTTGAGAGAGGACACAGAAGCCAACATAAAGGGGCTCCCGATGGCCAAATGTGGAATCATTTGAGCAACAAAATAATGACAGTCATGAATTGTTATGGATTGAATAGTGTTCCTGCAAAATCCATATGTTGAAGTTGTAACCCCCAGAAGCTCAGAATATGACTGTAGTTGGAGATAGGGTCTTTAAAGTGGTATTTAAGTTAAAATGAGGTCATTAATGTGGGCCCTAGTGCAATATGACTGGTGTACTTATGAGAAGAGGAAACGTGGACATGGACATGCACGAAGACCACATAAAGACACAGGGAGAAAAGGGTCGTCTACAAGCCAAGGAGAGAGGCCTTAGGAGAAACCAGCCCTGCCAATGATACCAGGATCTCAGATTTTCAGCCGCCAGAATTGTGAGAAAATGAATTTCTGTTGTTTAAGCGACCCACTCTGTGGTACTTTACTATGGCAGTCCTAGCAAATTAGTAAAGAATTACAAGCCACAAAACAAAATAAATATCCATGAGTCCATACTGATACAAATAAATAATTGAATAAATAAGTGGGCAAGAAGAGAAAGCACTTCCTCATGGTAGAATCCAATTAATAAGCACAGAAGGGATGATGCAGATAGAAACATCACCATTTGGCGAATGCTACGGTAATAATTGTTTCTTAGGCAAGCATCACCAATGAATGTTAAAATGAGTGTGCGAAGGAAGGAAACAAGCTATTTATGTAGTTTCAAAATATTATACTTATTGATTTCAATGTGGAAAATAGTCTCCTTGCAGTGGAGAAACCCGGGAGACACCACCTTGACCAAGTGATGAAGTTCACATCCCCACTGATAAAATATATGATATCAGGCACCCCCTGATATAATGTATGTAAGCGGCAGGGCATCACTTCTGTGGGGTTCTTGCCAAAAACACACAACTGGAATTTAGGCATGAGAAAAAAATCTGACAAATGCAAATTGAGGGACAGTGTACAAAATAACTAGTGAGTACTCTTTAAAAGTGCCAAGACTGTGAAAGACACAGACTGAGGGACTGTCCCAGATTTAAGAAGACTAAAGTGACACAGCAACTCAATGCAATGGGTAATCTTAGATTGGGCCCCAGACAAGAAGAGGACAACAGTGGGACAACTGATAAAATACAAGTCAAGTCTGCAGATTAGATAATAGTGTTGTACCCACGTTAACATCCTGGTTTTGATCACTGGGTTGTGGTTAGGGAAGATGTGAACATCTGGAGAAGCTGGGTGAAGAGTAGAAGGAAGTTTGTTGTACTATTTTGTAACTTTTTTTCTTTGTTTGTAAACCCCAAACTATTTAAAAATGAAAAGTTAAAAATCTTTAAAAATTAATAAGAAACACAAATTACTAGTCCTCACCCCAGAGTTTTTGTTTCAGTAGGTCTGGGGCGGGTCTTGAGAAACCACATTTCTAACAAGTTTTCAGATGATACTGTTGGTCCTTTGGGAACCACTACACTATGCCACACCTCCTCCTGCCACAAGCCCACCAAGCCCTGAAAAGTAAGAACAATTCATTCCTTCACTCATCATTCATCGTGGGTGTTCTACTCACCAGGCCCTCAGCTAAGCCCTCACAGCCATTATACTCACAGCTCTATTAAGATGAACCAGCAAACACTCTTCTCTAACTACCTGCAGGGAGTAGGACGCTCGCTCTGAAGGAGTCCTTCAGAGTAAGTCCTATTTATTGTAAAAGCACCGTTGTTTGGTCGCTTGTTTTTGGTCTTTTCCGCGTTGCTGTGAGGCAGAGCAATAGAGCTCCAAATTCCTGAGCAAGCCCTTCCTGCCACCATCCTCTTCCCAACTGCAGGTGGCCAAATCCTGACTTGGGAGGAGCACGGAGGAGAGAGAGGGAGGCTACAACCTTGGCTTCAGAGCCTGCGAGAGGAGAGGAGCCAGATCAACTCACAGCTTACATTGATTTGCATATTTCTCATAAGGCTTCCATTTATTAGAGAATATTCTCACGTCAGCCAAATGTTTTGGCCGAGTCTGTGAACCCTGTAATCTCCCAATCAGCCTATGAATGTTTAACTCCTTTGCTGGAGCTTAGAAGTGTTTATACATCCAGGAAGCACATGAGCTTTGGAAGGAGATATCCTGGCTCCCCTCTAGCCTGTGGGGGGGAGGGGACTCAGAGATTCACACTGGAAGAAGATGATACCCAGGAATGGTCCAAACCTCTGACCCACACCAACAGGCTGGGGGAAGACTGGACCAGCATGCCAAGGCACCATCTGAATACACACCAGGACTGTGCAATGAATGAAATTCACATATGTCCTATAGCCCCAGACCATAACTCCTTAAGAAAGGCCATTAATGTGGATTAATCTTCTCTGCAACCTTTCGAGTAGAAGCAGGGAGTAACTAATGGCCTAAAGTTACAGAGCTGAGTGGGGATTTGAACCCTGACGATGTGGCTCCATAGCCATTACGCTAGACTGCCTTAAGACTTTCTACTGGAACTTACTAGATCTACCAGAGAATGACTACTGGTTCTAGAATTCATCTCATCTCTGCATCCCAAGAATCCCAACCACAGTCAATAGCCATTAAGCCTTTTCTCTGCCCAGCACACTGCTAAGCACTTGTCATACATTACTTCATTTAATCCTCGTGGCAACTGGGCAGGGAGTATTGGTATCATTCCCATTTCATACATGAAGAAACAGAGGCACAGAGTGGTGACTGTCTTTCATGGAGGGCTGACCATGCACTATGCCCTCTTCTAGAAGCCCAGGCCACCTGTCTAGGAGGGCCATAGGTGGGATTTGCACCTAAGTCTGTCTGATTTCAGAGCCCTTGCTCTTGACCTTGATGCTTTGCTGCCTGGGAGCAAGAGAGAGACACTATATGATAAAAATGATGTCTCCACACCCTCATGTCAAAAGAGAAGAGCAGGAAGTCACCGGCCAGCTTTGTATCCAGACCTCAGTCGGTGCAAGGTTTAGCGTAGTGAATCATGACATACCCCTGCCTGCTCCCCCAGATAATTTACTCTCCTGAACGTTTAGACATCTTGTCACTTGACATCTTTTTTTGGCCCATCTTTTCCTGTCACTGCCTTTTCATCATCCACTGACTCCTTTAACACAAAGGCACATAAAACAAGCAAATCTTCGCACAGGGTGTAGATGGGTCTGAGGGAATGACCCCTGGTGAGCTGCTTTCTCCTCGAGCTTATCCATGACTCTAGCCTCCCTCCCTCCTCCTGGGGCCACATTCTAAACAAATGCCATGAAAAGAAGTATCAGAGTCACCTGGGGCTTGTTAAAACACAGTTGCTGGCTCCACCCCAGAGTTCCTGACCTGAGTGGGGCTTGAAAATCTTAGTTTTAACACATTCCCAGGCGATGCTGATGCTGCTGGTCCTGGGTGTACACCTCGAGTGTTGACAACTGACTGTGGTGATGAGGTATCCAGAGACTACAAGAAGGGGCTGCCGCACCCTGGGGGGACACAGGAGGTGTTGGCATGGCTGGGAGGATGCACAGAACTGCTTCCTCCCGAGAGAAGGGAGGACAGAGGAAAAGCTGTGTCTGGCAAATCATCCCACTGCTCCTCGGCTCTCGGGACACCTCTGGGAGAAGCCCACTGTGGCTTACCCTCCTTCCTGAGCAATCTAGGGCTCCCTGCTCTCTCTGAGCTCCAGGAGCTCCCCTCTGCAAACTGAAGCACTGCCTCAGCGTGCTTCACTCCTCACCCATGGGGAGTGTACACTCTCCTCTTCAAAATCAGCAGGTGGCACAGGTGGGGCAAAGGGCCACGCCAGCCCTTTCTGTCAGCAAGGCCCAGATTGACTGTGTAGCCCACTCAAGAAAAGTGTCTCTGCTTTGCCACTAAAAGCCGCTGCTTCCACAGAGCAGGCCCAGACCCTCCTACATACCAAAGGAGATCCCAGCATGGCCCACGATGGCAAGTGCCCCGAGCCCTCTCACTAGGCACACTGGCGATGATGTTGGAAATGTCAGACCAGATGGGATTGCCAGGGCCTCAAACATCAGCATGTTCTGACCCTCTTCTGAGAGGTGGCTCCATCATCCTCCGAACCTCAGTGGCAAGAATTTAGCTTCACATGCAGTCTCATTTCTCCAGTTTCAACCTCGGGGCCTCTAGTTCAAGTTCCCTTGAGCTTAGAAAAATAAGGCCTCCTGGAGCTGCCACCCCCTAGTTATTTGTAGGCTGTGAAGTCACCTTCATACAGATGCTGCAGAGTGCTAGTTCCTACTGCCTCCCCCTTTGCACGTGTGTGCATGTGTGTACACGCATGCGTGTGTGTATGATATCAGTCTTTACACTTCCCTTTAGCCCATTACAACCTCTGATTTCTGGGGATTGAAGGCCAAGAGATCACTCATCAGTTCCCAGCACAAATCACCGGGTCAGCAAAGATACATGGCTCCGCAGATAGGAATTCATCAATTGAGGAACCCAGCCACCTTTTCTTCTCCAACTTCAGAAGGCATTTGAAATGTCCTAACCCAGAGAAAGATGGAATCACCTCCCCCAAATCCAGTCAAACAAAGGTCTTCTGTTACTTCAGTTACTAGCCCTGGTCCACTTGACATTAGCACCATCACAGGCCTATGGCATCATGTACCCCCACTGGCTCACCATGGAAAAAAAGAGGAACAGAACCACAGACCTGGAGGCCAGATGTGCCTCCAGCCTTGCCAATGACCAGCAAGTAGAAAGAGCCTCAGGTCACTCACCTGTTAAATGTGGGGCTGAACTGGGTAGACTCCGAAGTTGCTTGCAATGGAAAGTCATTGAAGCAGCATCACGTGCCAAACCCTGTCACGTGTGCTTTATACACCTTGTCTCATTTCAAAGGCACAAGATTCATTTCATAGATGAGGAAATAGAGGCTTAGAGTTTCTCATTAAGTAAAGGGCTGAGTCAAGAGTCTCCATCATTATTGTCCCACTCTGAAGCCCCTGCTTTCTCTACTGTAATACAGTATGCCCTCATGTGCGCAACTGTGTATTCTGGGAGGTCTGGGTTTTTGCTATGATGATTATTAGAAAATGGAGACTTTGTCTTCGTTTACCCGAAATGCCAGTGGTAGCTGCACATGTCCCAGTGTGTGTCTGCTTACCCGTGACAACCGTATGAATACTGATGCTGCTGCTTCTCTCGAGCTACACGCCCTGCCCCCCACACTCCCAGAAGGAATCTGCACACCCCATAGCTGGCTGCTCTGCCCTCACCTGGAAAGGGCTCCTTGAGGAAGTGGCCATTGATGGTCTGATTGGCAGTACCCAATGGGTTTTTGGCAATGAGGGTGTAGTTGCCGTTGTTGTAGTGGGTGGGCTTGTTGAAGAGCAGGCAGCCCTCGGAGATCTCGCCCTCCTGGTAGTATTCCACGTGGATGATCTTGGACTCCCGCAGTGGCTGCCCGTTGTGCAGCCAGTGCAGCGTTGGCGGCGGGTTGCCACGTACCACGAACTCAATGCAATGCTCCAGGCGCAGCTCTGGCTCCTCCAGGCTCACCACGCGTGGGGGGTCTGCAGGAGGAGAGGCCAGCTGAAGCCCAGATCAGAGTCTGCTGTGTCCTGGAGCAGCCTTCCAGCAACTGGCATGGGAATCCCAATTCTTCCCCACCCAGCTCTGAAAAGGCTGAGGAATGCAGAGGTCCCACCACCATCCCAACAGATGGAATATCTCCATCCAAGCTCTGGATCCACCTTAGCTGGAGGTTTCCCCCCTGGGACCTTTTAGGGGTTTAACGAAAGGCAGAATAGGCCAACTTAGGAGCACCCTGAAGACATCGTTGTGTTGGAGGCACACCCTCTTCTGAGGACAAGGATGCCCTTTCTGGGGTTACTATGCAAGGACTGACTTCTCAGCCCTGCCCTACACCAGTCTGTCTGCCCCTGTTGGCAGACTATGCCCCCTGCTCAGCCCTGGCAACACCTCTGCCCCTCCCCAGCATCCTGAGGTGGTATCCCCTTGTGCACAGCCATCCTGCATGATGGCACACACTTACAGTAGACGGTGAGGGCGACACTGGCGTTGCTCATGCCCACCACGTTCTCTGCAATGCATGTCAGGGTGAAGCCATTGTCCTCACTCGTCACATTCACCAGCGTCAAGTTGATGGCATGTACGTTTGTCCAGTTCAGATTTGTCTGAAAATCCCAATAAAAGACAACACTCGAACAGTTTCTACAAGGGTGGCTCCCCTACGTAACCCCCAAACACCTTTAAGAATCAAAAAAAAAAAAAAAAAAGCCAAGCAGAAGGTGAAGGCAGTCGTTCTAGTGAACCACTGACCAAAGCCAGGCTCCTCATGGTCAGGAGTTCAGGTAACCCTCATATTAACTCTATGAGGTGAATGGCAGTATTGTGCCCATTTTACAGATTAAGAAACTAAGGTACAGAGAAGTTGAGTAGCACATATAAGGTCAAAATGGCTAAAAAATATTGCAGCTGGATGGAACCCAAGTCTACATGTTACTACAGGACCACAAGTTTTCCCTCTTCTTTAAGATTAAAAAGTGATCACTCCCAACCTCCCAATGGGGTCTGAACCGAGGATGCATACCTGGTGGGTGTTGATGGACTGCAGCCCAGTAACAATCCAGTCCACATCAGGCAGGGGTGACCCAGAGCCATTGCAAGTGATGACAGCATTGTCACCCTCTCGTACAGTCAGGTTGACATGGCTCACACTGATCTCTGGAAGGTCTGAGAGTGGGGTGGGGGAGGACAGGGTGGGAGAAAAGGCAAGAACGCCCTTACTACTCAGAGAAAGCTCTCTCCATGCGCCAATGGTGGTGCTTCTTGCCTTGCCCAATAATGACTCTAACACCTGCTTGTGCTCTTGGAAAATGCCCAAGCCCCATACGCTTCACATCACCTTCCCAGCAGATGTCAGAACACAGAACTGAAGCCCATGCAGTTGGACTGTCCTACACAGCAGGGTAGGGATGGGGCAGCTGCTCAAGGAATGCATTTCTAGCTGTTAAGCTCAATGGCATCATTCCACTTTGGGCACTGGTTCTCAAAAAAGTGGTGAGTTTCAGGCTCCCATGGGAAGCTTGCTAGAAATTCAGATTTCCAGGACCCATCTTCAGACATTCTGATTTTGCAAGTCTGTGGGTGGACCAGGAGTCTGCTTTTCTGAAAGCACCTTTGATGCTTCTGAGAAAGGAAGTCCAGAGACCACACTCCAAGATACACCCCTTTGGGTTTGATTGACAGGAAACTCACAGAGAGAAGGGGAATCTGATCTGAGGAGAAGAGGTACATTTAACTCCTACTGCTTTCCTGAAACCAATCTTCCCACAGCTGGCTCACAAAGGGACAGGAATGACCAAGGGGGGAAAAGGTGAGTTAGGTCTGTACCCAACTTCAGAGTTCAAGGCTGCAAAGGCAGTTGGAAAGGAAGGCCCTAGCATTCCAGGCTAATGTCCAGCACCATGTCTGGCATCTGAAGGATGCCTTGGTGGAGCCAGGTGAGGCCAGGACACGCACTCACCACACTGACTGATGTTCATGCGGAAGAGGGGGAGCTGGGAGCCGTCGGCGTTGATGCAGTAGAGGTTCTGGCTGTTCAGCCTGGCCTCCCCCTGCTCCTGCCACAGCTGCATCCAGCGGATGTCACAGCTGCAGTTGAAGAAGTTCTGCTCCAATCTCCTGTGGGCAAGGAGAGAAGGGAAGGGAACCCCTGAACCGAAGATGGCCCAGCTCCCTCCCAGGGCTGTGAGGCCAAAGGGGCCCCCACCTGCTCTTCAGGGATTAAGGAGAGAAAGAATTTAGAAAGGTCATAAAAGAAGAAAAAATATATATATGAGCCCATGAATTTACTTAGTTTTAAAGCCAATCAGCTTATTTTAAAAAAAAAGAAAGAAATCCAGCCCACTTAACTCACCCAGCAAAGAAAAACTTTCAAATCCGTCAGCTGGAATGCTCCTCTTCTCAAAACCTTCCAGTGACTTACCATCTCATTGAAAATCAGTCAAAGTCCTACATAATCTTCATCCCTTCCCTCACCCCTGACCTCATCTCCTACTCAGCGCCCACTCCTCCTCAGCCACACCCACCCTGCTGTTTGCAAGGTCACCCGCAGGACTGGTTCATTCCTGCCTCAACACCTTTGAGCTCACTGTCCCCTCTGCCTGCAGAGCTTACCCAACATATCTGCAATACTAGCTACCTGACTTCATTAAGGAATCATACAGCCTTCTCTGACCACCTTCTATAAAAAAGCCACCACCCACCCCTGACCTAACACAGCTCAGTCCCTTGCCCGGCTATTTTCTTCTTTCCATTGTTTGTCACCACCTGAATCACTTTAAATATTTATTTTAGTGCGTGTGTTTGTTTTTCTGTCTCCCCAGATAAAAAATTTAGCTCTATTGAGGTCACAGACATTGCCTGCTATGTCACTGCTATATACCCAGTGCCTAAAACTGAGTTTGGCACATACATTCTTGTTGAATGAAAGTGTGTGTGTGGGGGAGAGAGAGAGAGAGAGAGAGAGAGAGAGAGAGAGAGAGTTTCTCTCCCTGGGGGAGTAGGTAGGTGGTTAGCTATTTCCAGGACACACACAAAGCCCATCTTGGGACCAGCTTTATTCCTTCACAAATTCCACAAACCTAAATAAGCACCTGCTCCATATCTGGCTGTGGACTGAGTGCTGCTGATACAAAGATGAACAAGACAGCCCCTGTCCTCCAGGAGCTCCCAGCCTGGTAAAGAAGAGTGTCTGATGGAAGAAGAGTAAAGTTCAATGCCCTCCTTCTCCACTGATTTTCCTTGTGACTGGAAGCAAGTCTCCCCTTTTCGTGGGGTTGTTAGGAGGACAATGACCATCATCAATCAATGCAAAACGCTTAAAGTAAAGAGCACTCAATAAACCTGAATGCCTGGATCATTAGGGGAAACACAATTCTCTTTCTGGACTACTAAGGGGATAATCTGTTGGCACCCAGAGAAAGGGACACTTGGGTCACTGCACTAAGACCCAGGATATTTTTGACAACTGACAAATTCCAAAATAGTTAAGCCTGCATGAAAATTAATCAACTTCCAGGAAAAAATGAGACTCCTAGGCAGGGAAATCAGTGTTTCCTAACCACTGGGACACCACAGGTAGAATGTGGCCAATACCCCTAAGGCACATCATCCTCTTAGCCTTAATGTACCCAGGACTTCTCTCTACACATGGGACTCTTTCAGAAAAGGTGAAGAGAAGAGAACTAACCTTTATTGAGCTTCTGCTTCTTACAATGACCCAAGGAGATAGCTGGTATTGTTCCCATACAGATGAGGGAGTCTCCTTGATGGCTGAAGGGGTTAAGTCACATGCTCAAGGTCCCTCAGCTGGTGTGTGACAGAGCAGAGTTTCAAACCCCAGTCTGTTGGACTCCAAAACCCATGCACTTTGCACCCCATCTGTCATGTGCAAGGCACTGCTGGGTGCAATGGGAGATGCCAAGAGCAGTAAGACAGGACTCCCGATGGCAGGAGCTCATGCAGACAGACGAGGGGAGCACTAAAGGGAGGTAACAAAGGCAGAGGGAATGCTGTAGACTGGGATAAAGACAGGAAAGAAAGGATTGGTCAGGGCCGAGAGTTTGTCAAGGAGCGCTAGGAAATAAAGCTGGAAGGGCGAGGGGAAGCCAGATGGTGGAGGACTTTCACTGCCACAGCAGGAAGTTTGGAGCTCATCCAGGAGGCAGTGGGAAACCACTGAGGCCCTTAGAGCTGGAGATTGGTATGAACAAAGCAAGTCTGTAAGAAGAGCAGTCCAGCAACAGTGCACAAGATACACTGGAGGGAGGACCGCTAGAGACTGGGACACCAGTTAGGATGCCTTACAAACACAGGATCCCCGTTACAGTTGCATAGGTCATGCTCTTCTCAAAGGACCCAGCCAAAGGGACGAACAGGGGATGAAATCCAGTCTGCACATCCCTGGCCAGACCCAGTGCCCTGGCATGAAGCTACAGCCACCCAGAGGGCCGTCTTTTCTAACTCATACATAGGCACCACCGAGGCTGCCAGGGTCTAGGTCAGTGTTCTCAAACTCTTGGTCTCAGAACTCCTTTTCACTCTTCAAAAGTTCCTGAGAGCTCCAAGAGCTTTTGTTTATGTGGGTTATATCTATCACTATTTACCATGTTAGAAATTGAAACTGAAAAAATGTAAATACCAACATACATCAGCACAAATTCCATTAGTCATCAGGACTATGATATTATCACACATCATGTGGCTTCTGGAAAACTCCACTGTCCACTCATGAGAGGATGAAAGTGAAAAAGACAAAGAATGTCTTAGTATTATTATCAAAATAGGTCACCTCATGGTCTCCCTCAAAGGGTCTTGGGGACCCTAAGGGACTCTGGACCACCACTTGAGAAATGTTGCCTAATTAATAAGGGCCTGCAGTGGAGTGGTAAAAATTGGGAGAGGGAAGGGAAAACCATGAAACCTCATAAAGGAAAACAAGGCAGTATCGGTGTTTTGTTGAGGATAGAAGAAAAGGAAAGAGAAGAAGGACTCAGGAAGATGAGGTTTAAGCTTCAGGGGACAGGAAAGCAATGGCGGAGGGAACTGTTTTTGGCTGAAAGCAGAAGAGAAGAATCAGTGGGAAGGAGAAGAGGAAACTATTAGGAGTGGGGTGGGGGCAGGGTTGGGGTGGGAGGGAGAGAGGAAGGTCCTGGAGGAGGAGAGGGAAGGACAAGGTCAGGAAGCCTTGGAGGTGTTTGCCTCGGGGCTACGGGGCTACTACGGCAGGATGCCTCATGGCTGAGAAACGAGACAGAGAAAAGAGAAAAGGTGGACAGGCGAACATGAGAGAGAAGAAAAGTAATAGGATAATAATCTTTCCATGGCACTTTCCTTAATGCCAACACCATGCTAGATGCTTTCGGCACCACCTCATCTAACCCTCACACCAGGAGGAAACAGAGGGAAGGCAGGCACTTCGAGGGTTTGCGTAGGAAAGCAGAAAGTCAAATTAGCTGCCCAGTGCGTGTGGGCAAGGGAGGCCCGACGAGGTGGAGCGGTCTGGATTCCCAGTGCAGGGGCTGTGAGGAGAGGCCTGGCAGCCCGGCTGGCAGACACGTGGATATAAGCCACTGAACCAGGTCAGCATGGTTTTCCCAGCTTCTCGCTTGACAAGCTATGGTCATTCATTATTAAGTAGGTGTAAAAATACAAATTATCCACCTGGGTGGGAAAGACTAGACAAGTGAGGGGCTTGGCAAGCCACACCGCACTTATGCAGTCCCGCCTCTGAGCCCTGTCCTGCTGCAGACCCCAACATCTTGGCAGCCCCCAAAGGCAGACAGTGCCGGTGTCCTGAGGCTGGCAGTAGAATTAGGTGAGACGTTTGGGAAGTGCTGAGGATGCTGCCAAGCACAGGCTCAGCAACAACATTTCTGGTTCCTTCTATTTTTTCCCTCCAGGAACAGGACCTGATCCAGCAGAAGGAATGTACCTTGAGATCTGGTCCTTTGCTGCAGTCCAGAGTCTCCTGGAGACTGCAAAAGAACGTTGGGGTTTCCCCCCATCCCTCTGGACTTTCCTTCTAAAGAATAAGACACAAACACACAGCGGAAAGCATTTAGAGTCTTAAGATAGTGGCACCCTGGGTAGCCCTCTGAGCAAATCCACAATCGCCTTCATATCCTGACAAGAGAGGGTTCAAGCGGTAAAGTGGGAGAAACGTAAAAACCGGCAAGTGCTAGGTCTAAATGACGCTGTCCATTTTGTGTCCCTTCTCCCCTCAAAACAGGTCCCACACAGAGGAGCCTTCAGGCAGGCCTTTGGTGGGAACTTGAAGCACAGCTTTCCAGACTCCATCAATAATGCAGGCAGCCCTATGAATAACACAGCAGCAGCTGCTTCAGGGCAAAGCTTACCAACACCCAGCCCTTGCCCCAAGATGGCTCAGGGCCTAATTGCAGGGCCCTGGGGGCTTCCCACGGACTAACTCAGCCCCACCCGGGCTGGGCACCCAGGCACTTTGCAGCACAGCCTAGGCCATGACTGGGTGTTTAGAAAACACTGATTTCCCTCCGGTCATCACTCTGGGGGTTTTCTTCTCCCCTCCACAGCATTGGAGCTGCCAGTGGCAAACCTGGGGCCAGGCAGTGGCAAATGGGGAGGAGACCCAGGTCAGCAAGGGCAGCCCTGCTGTCACATGGCAAAGGATACCAAGAGGGACAAGCGATCAGCGCAGGCCTCTTGAGATAATAACAGTCAGATGGCAGGAAAAGTACGCAAACAAAAGGCCCCAGGCGCATCACCTTGAGCAAATATAACAGGTTGAATTGTGTCCTCCAAAAGGATATGTCCTAGTCCTAACCCCAGGTACCTGTGAATGTGAACTTATTTGGAAATAGAGTCTTGGCAAATGTAATCAATTTAAGGATCAAGAAATGATAGCATCCTGGATTACAGGTGGGCCCTAAAGCCCATGACCAATGTCCTCATAAGAGAAGGGAGAGGAAGATGACAGACAGAGAGACAGGGAAGGCCATGTGAGACAGAGGCAGAGACTGCAGTGACATAGCCACAAGCCCAGGGACACCAGGAGCCACCAGAAGCTGGAAGGGAAGGCGGCCCTGCTGACACCCTGATTTCAGACTTCTGGCCTCCAGACAGTGAGGAAATAATTTTCTGCTGTTTTCTGCCACCAAGTTTGTGGCAGTCTTTGAAGACAGCCTAGGAAACAAATGCAGCCAGCAACTTCCTCCTCCAAGTCTCTGTTTTAACATCTGTAAAATGGGAGTAACTGTGCTCGAACCTCCTTCTTCACAAAGGTATGATGAGATTAAAAAGGGTTATAAAGAGGCCAGAAATTATTATTATAGTAATACCATTATTAACATTATTGTTTAGAGATTTCTCTGAGAGCTTGCAAAGTGGTCACAGCCAAGACTGGAAAAAGGAAAGTGCTGGGATCAACCCAAACCCATCCCTGATCCCGAGTTAATATTTTACCAAGTCAATTACATCTGTAAATTATACCAGAGGTAATTATCACCTTGCTTTAAGAAAATGAAATATTCCAATCTATTTTAATCATGTCTGCTCCACGAGTCCAGGGTATTAAGAGAAGCCTGTTCAAGATACGTTAATGGCCCTTAGGGTATTTCTGAAGGGTTTCTGTGCTGTGGGTTCACATCCTCCAGTGCCTTTTGCCACTGTCATAGCCTCAGTTGTATCATGGGATTCAGAATCCAGGCTTCTTTTCTTCTTAATTCATTATTTGTCTCTAAAACAACCTCTCCGATTCTTGCTCTGATTTTTAGACAGACTGTTCGAGTCTTCTCCGTGAGGGAAAAACACCATCTTGCCATAACCAGAAACTTCTGAGAGCACTGTGCAATGCCAAGTCAAATGTCTTCAAACCTGTGCCATTGAGATAGCACTGGCTACGCCAAAGCACATCTTGCAAGAAGCGTCTAGCTCGCTCCGTAAGAGGAGCACTGCCTGGACTAGGGGGTGACAGGGAGGATGCTGTGAGCCAGGTGCTCGGCCGGGACCATCCCTCTCATCTCACGAAAGTAAATGAGAGAAGGCAAAGGAAGGGTCTTAGCATGTGGCAAGGACTCTGAGACAGTAACTTGTTTGCTTTTTACTGTAATTCTACCCAGAGGAGCCCCCATCTTAAGAGGGGCTTCTAGAAAGAGTCGTGGAGCATGCAGGATGTGTTGCCGATGGTGATGACGCCAAAAATCAAAATACTAATTCCCAGATTTACCATTGACTAACCACATAAACTTGGACTAGTTGTTTAACATGGCCGAGCCTCAAATCCCTCATTTGTAAAACAGGTTGTAACGATACTTCCCTTGTGGGATTGTTCTAACGATGAGACAGGACCTGGGACACGTTAGGCGCTCAATACATGCATCTTCTTTCTCCTTCTTTACTACTGGAAAAGTAGCAGACACTCGGCCCTTCCAATGGGGCATCTCAACAGCATCAGTTCTAATATCAAGGGTCCTCTATTGGGGGTAGAGCTGGCTGGGGGTATGGCAGAGATCCTCAGCGACAGAATGAAAAGTGCTAAGAACTTGTTGAATACCCTTGTTTGCCCCTCTGTTCCTGCAGAAGGTCACTCAGAGCCTCACACTTCTGGCTTGTGACTTTCCTGGCTGCCACAGCATGCCGAGCCCTCTCTGCTCCGGGGCCAAAATTCTTTCTTCTTGGAAATACCAGACCCATCCCCACCCCCCAGCCCAAAGGTTCCAACAGGCAGGCCCTGGCAGTCTAGGTGGCTCATGGCAGATGGCGCCACGTGGACTAATCAGGAAGTCAGACAAGAAAATACTACCCCCGCTTCCATTTGCCAGGAACTGGAAATGTTTGGATTTTAATCATAGCCACCGCTAAGAGCCAACACGCAGCCCCGTCAGCCAAAAGATAAATTTTCCACTCTCAACATTCAATTCTTCCTCAAAAAATAGACCCCTACCAGGGCAAATGCTCCTTAGAAGGGGGTTTCTTTATTCTCCAATATAATTTTTTCTTATTTAACAATATGACAGAAATAAAATACTGCACGGACACGGTGGCACTCACATACTGACTCGCACTGGAGGGAACGTCTTCATTTCTCCGTAAGTCACATCTACCTCGCTGGTGTATTGATCTCAGGCAAAGCTGAGTGCCGAATCCCATGATCCTCTGGGAGTAATCTGACATTTTTTTTAAATATATATCCACCGAACAACTGTTTCTAAAAGTCCATGAAACAGGTCACCAGGGCAGCAGCACACCATTGATTTAGCATCCAGTGATTCTTTTAGAAAGAGCACTGAACGTTTTCTCAATAACTCAGCCAACAGCAGACCCCAGATGTCCCCTGGAGAGAAGCTATCCCTGGCCTCCCCCAGATGGAGGGGACAGGTGTTCCAGGAGAACTAAATGCAAGACTCCCAAGAAAGAGAGCCCTTAGGACTCCCAATCAATTCTAGGGTAACTTAAGAAAGAACCACAATCATGTACTTTTTGAAAATTATTGTAATAAATCCTTGCATTGGAAACAGATTGAAAAGGTTGGGAGATAGCTGTCTATAGCAGTCAAGGTTTTGAGTGCACACACTACCACTTATTTAATGGGTGACTTTAAACAAGACACGTAACCTTGCTAAGCACCTCAGTGTCCTCGAATGTGAAGTGATAGTAATAATTCCTACCTTATAGACTTGTCATAAGGATTAAATTAAATAACATGCATAATTTAATAGATTGCTTGGCACAGTGTCTAGCACAGAGCAAGAGCTCAGAAATCAGTGTTATTAGTAAATAGTAGCAGTTATGCTAATTTATCGCTAAGGTCTTTTCCACCTGCAAACCTAGGAATGAATACAACACGTCACATGTAACAGTCTGACATTTAGATGTCTGTGACATAGTCTTTTTTCTCAGTGTTTTATAAACAAATAAGTACACATTCACCTTTTCCTAGCTCAGGTAGGAGTTTTTATTGGTATACATCTGGATCACAACTATACGTAACTAAAGAATTCTGATCACTTTGCATATGGTGCCCACACCAGGCCAGTAGCCTGCTGGGAGGAGTACAATTCTAAGAAAGGAAAACAACCCATAGAAGTATTGCCCTAAACTCCCCAACACTTTTAAAGAGACAAACACTGTACTTCCTATCCCTGGAATGGCCTTTTCAAGCATCGTATGGGCATTTAGAACCATAAGGATAAGAACAAGGGTGTCATGGGGTCATAGCCTATTGGGATGCCAGATGTAAATATTCCCCTTCCTGACCAGCTGGGTCTGAAAAGGTAAGGTGATGACTCCTCTGTGAACTCAGGTCTTGCCACATGGAGGGAGAACAAGTTGAAAGGCCAACAACATAGGCAGAGGTCCAAGGTCATTGCCTCTTGGTAAAGATAGTAAAGCAATCTACATTCAGTGAATTTGGATCCGAGTCACCAAGTACATGGGAACACATGAGCAGTATCTCTGGAACCCTGAATCCCTAACTTCATCCATGCTTTAATTCCTTTTCAATTTATTCCTTGATTTATGCTGTCCTCCATGCACAGAGACGACCTCGATGACTCACACATCATCATGAGTTATTTTTTCCATCAGTGGTCATGAATTTTCATTTACCCAGCCAACATTTGTTTGTACAAAATGGCTGGCTGGGGTAGGGGTGCGCTGATCAGCTTTGGAATGCAGCAAGCTAAGCAGTCCACACGCAGGCTCGGTAAATACATGGCCTCCCCACCTCCCCCACTATGCCTATTCTTAAGCCAAATAGGCTGACAGAAGATCATGGGTGGTAAAGAGGACATGCAATCAGAACTTGGAAGGCCTGGGTTCAAGTCCCAGCTCCCCTAGTCCCTAGCAATGAAATTTTAGTTGAATCTCAAATGCCTTTCTAGGGTTCCGAATCCTCACTCATAAAATGCAGAGAATAATAATACATACCTATCATGACTCTTGTGATGATAAATCTAAGATCTTGTAAATGAAAGTATACCTGATAATCTACAGAGTTATGTATTGTGAATGTTATTTATTATGAGTTGATAACTACCCTTCATTATTATAAATATCAATACTATTATTTCTAATTACCTACAGATCACAAAACTAAGTCCTGATCAAAGATGAGATTCCTATCTTCTGAAATAGACTGTGTCCAGAAAGATCAAAAATCAAGCCCAGGGGTGGATCGCTGTCACTGAACATGGTACACTCTGCATCATCCAACCCAAGCAGCCCCTTCAGGAATGCACACCCAGCCTTCAGGTGGCTCCACTGCTTGACACTTCTCCCCACCCAACCACTGCCACCACCTCACTACCTGGACAGTCTTCTATCTGAACTTACAATTCCCGAAGACTCAGCGTCTGGAACAGCTGCCAGGAGAGTGTGGTGAGCCGGTTACTCGACAGGTTTCTGCAAGAAGGACAAATAAAGGGGAAATTAAAGGACAGATATGGCATTTATAATGCTCTTGGTAGAAAGCATGGTCATTTCTCTGGAGCCTGGCTTTGTTTTTCTTCTTCTTTGCTATATTCTGCTAGTGATACATCTGCTGATAGTTGAGGCCACAGATACGTTTGGAGAAGATTTTGAGGCCGTGTAAAGGGCAAGATTTTACAAAACAAAATTCCCTTGGTCATTTTGTCATATCCTCTCCCTGCAATAAAAGTTCAGGGAGCCTTTTAGAAGCCACCCTTCTCTAAGAGCATAGAGAGCTCTCAGGGTACACATGCCACCAAGCATCCTTCAAATTCACACAGGTCAAAAAACTCTTCAGGTCACCTAGGATTCCTCCTAGCTGGTCCCTCCCCTGGCAAACGTGCCATCAGTGATCAAGACATCAGCCTCTTCTTCACACGTCTGTTCTCCTCTTAATGGCTATTTAATTGTTCTCATTAGGAAGTAAAGGGGAAAGCAGCAGCCATTAGTCTTCTGAATAAAAGAAGAAACACGCCCACGGTTATTACTTTGCCAGGCTCAACAAACAACTTTTGATGCAATAACAGCCCTTGAAGGCAGCAGTTAGACACTGCTCGAATCGAAGTGGCACCCCAGGAACAATGTACTCATCTACTGATGAGAACGGACGGCGGAGCCGATTCCATTTAGGTAAATAGCTATCCACACACACACGAGTGTGTGCGTATTTGTGTCTATTAAACATGTAAGTAATAAATGCAAACACAGATTCTTGCTTATGCATACACACATATGCTTCCACATGCACCTATATTTAGATGACTTCTACAACAAATATTTATTGAGAGCCAAATATAGGCTACACTGAGGAATGAGGGGGTGGACCATTGAGGGGGAAGATAAGATCCCTCTGGAACCTTATATTCAAGTTACAAATGAATAGGCAGAAGGAAGAGTATAAACAAAGAGATGTAAGCAAGTGACTTGGGAGGGGGAGGGATCGGGGAAGTGCCTTCTGAGAGGACAGGCTGAGTGCTGGGGGAGGGGTGTTTGCAGTGGCAGCCGCCAGTGCAAAGGCCTGAGAGGTGACCGGTGCCAAGGAGGCCAGCCAGGAGGGACGGAGGGGCAGTGCTTAGGCACAAGCAGGAAAGGGATGTGTCATGCCACACCCACCTTGAGGAGGACTTTGAATCTTATTTTAAAGAGCAACGGGAAGGATAGATGGTCTTCAGTAAGGAAGTGACATAATCTAAAGACCGTTTTTGAAAATAGGAGACTGGAAGCCGGCAGGCCACTTAGGAGGCTGCGCAGAGGCGATTAAGCAGATGGATTCAAGGTAGGTGCTGGAGGTAGAGCCACCAGAACTTCCTATTGGATTGGATCTAGGAGAGTAGGGCAAGAGAATGGAGTGACCGGGTGAGTGGTGACATTGCCCGGTGAGATGAGGAGGCCTCCCAGAGTCACACGGAAGTGGTGGGGTCAAGATCCTTCCTCTTGAAACCATTAAGTTTGAGATACCTGTTAGATACCCAAGGAGAGAAATCAAACAACCTGTCGGATGCAAGGTCTGAAGCTCATGGGAGAGTTGAGGCTGGGTAAGAGCACTTAGTGAGAGGGTCTACCCAGTTCATAACAGGAGCAGGTATCCAAATACAAGAACAACCTTAGGGCTTCCCCTTCTTGTGTGAGGTGGCCCTACCTTTGGTGAGTTGGCTTGGTGCTACCTTGGCCTGACCTGTCTGGGTCTCTGAGACAGCCCGTGACGATGTAGGAGAGGCAGCCCCACTCTGAGGGTACAGGGGGCTGGTGGAGATGGAAAGGCAGGTGTCTCACAACTGCACTGTTCCACTAGGACTTTAGGACTCTAGGAGGCTCTCTAGGACGGCTTCCACGACCCCCCACACGCATCCACCTCCTCTCTGCAGGACTCAGAGTTCCAGTGTGACAGCACTTGCTCACTAGACACCTATAAATCTAAGTCATCCGCAAACTCAGCTCCACAAAACCCCTAATGACCCTATGTCTTATTTTTACAAACTTCCACCATCCCCCACTGATCAGAAGAGCTGCAGTGATGACCACTGAGGACACTAGCTGGGACAAAGCTCCCCACAGTGGCCCATCTCCTGACTAGAAGGAGGAGCAGGGGTCGGACATGCACAGCCCCAGAGTCGCTGACCCTACCCAGCTATTGGACCAGGAGCTCAGAACTCAGGGTCAAGGACAACATGTTTCAGTACCACCCTCTGGGTATCCATTACCATTAGCCTTTATGGCGTGTTAATAAATCTGAGTGTTTGACTCATCTAGGTAGAAATCTTTTGTTTTGCTCTGTATTTCCTGGTTTACTGTCTACGCACACACAGCAGTATCCATGGCAGCAAATGCTAGGCAAGTCCTAAACTTCCAAATTCACAAGGGAATCCCCCCAGAGCTTTGGAAAGACTTCCAGCCATCACCTTTAGCTCCCCACCCCACTCCAGTGCTCCCTTGAACAAAACCCACTGTTCTGACTCTGAGCAGCAGCATCGTGTGGGGAGCCAGCAGCCGGAAGCCCCAGGCTCGCTGAGCCCAGGGCAGCATGCCCCTGGTGAGATACAGAAGCAACCGGCTGGGACTAGCCGGCCAGGAGACAGGAGCAGACCAGGTGTGGGGGCAGCCTGGCCCGTCTCCAAGGGAGGAGCAGGCAGGAAGCCTGCCAGGAGTTCCAGGGAGCCCAAGGCAGAGAGCAGGCTGCCAGCAATGTCCTCTCACAAAGGTCATGCTTTGCTACATTAGGCAGAAATGTCAAGAGAAAATTGGATTCTGAAAGAAAGAAAATAACAAACATTCTGGGCAAATAAGGAATAAGAAATAGCACTACCTCCTTATTACAAGCTGGAGGAGGGATGGCGCCTGAGACACCTCCTAAGGGATGGCCGGACTCCTGCTCTCCCAGGGGGGGTCACAGCTTCATCTCCTTCTCACCCCTCCCCCACCACCTACCAAGCTCCACCTGGAGGAGAAAGGACCCCTGGATTCCTCCAGTTCTGTGTTGAGATGGAGCGGATCAGCCACTGCAACACTCGTGCACTCTGTCCACACACATACACACCCCCCAGTGCGTTTTCTCAGAGACGGGAATGCTGTGCTGCACTAGTCCAGGAAGGAGTGCAGTGTGCACAAACTGTGCAGCTGCACAGAGCGCCCTGCCAGAGACAGACATTCACACGGAAGTCAAGAAGTAAGGCACACATATATAAACACATCACAAAACAGGCAGAGTGCGCCTCTGGGCATCCTACCTACCCCGGTCATTTATAAACGTTCATAGTGCAGGGTAAAGGGGGAGACTGAAGCAGGGGGCTTCAATGGGATTTACCAGCCTCTCAGAACTCACTGCCCCTGATTTTTCTCCTAGCTGGTATCACACCTTTAGTCACCTGTCATCAGTTATTGATGAGCTGGCTACCCTGCTCATCAGACAAGAGTTTAATTAAGAACCATCCTGTCTTTGAGTCCCATAGCAGCCTCCTCCGGTGCCTCCTCCCTAACAGATCTATTACCAACCCTGTCTGACTTCTGCTTGGGTCAATGGCCAGTTTCCAAGCCACCTGACTACTGAATTAATTTGGTGAGCCATATTTTTATGAGATGTTGCATCAAACACTTTCCCAAAATTAAGCTCTGTGACATTGCCCCTTGTATCTCTCATCTGAGACTCCCAAACAAAGCCATTAATTTTGTCTTGCACAAATGGCTCTCACAGCCCAGATTCTGGGTCCAGAAGTAATAAACAATGATGATGTGGCCACTGGGTGCTCTGGGAACAAGGTGGCAGACACACATATGGCCAACTCTGGGTCCTGAGGAGTGATAGGGCTGAGATGGCACCTCCTACATTAACCCCATTGTGAACAGCAATCCTTCCAGGTGACCTCCCCTCTGACTAGTAATAACCTCAGCATCGGAAGCAGTCCCATGACCTTCCCAGTGGAAGCACCCAACTACAGCAGGAGTGGAGCCCTTGATTGGGGAGGATGTCACCCTCTACCCTGCAAAATCTACTGCCCTACAATAGGGTCAACAGGATGAACGCTGTTGCCAAGAGAAACCAACCTGATGAAACCAACCAAAAGATTATTGAAAGAGAACAGAGAACCAGGGGTATGCTCCACTTGCATGCCAAAGATGAATACCACCATCACTGATTTTTCCTAGAGGATCCATTCTGCTGCTGGCAAAAGGTGCTTTTTTGAGCACGGTATGGGCTTGGTGCATCCAGCATAGCTAACCAGAAAACAGTGAAGGTCCAACCACTTCAGGCCTGCAAGCTCCCATGGCTATGGCTTGCTAGCTGCAGTCACCATGATGCAAATCTTACTTCTTTCATCAATGAAGGTAGCATTTTGAAAGGCACAATTCTCCCTTCTTTAAGATCCAGTGCCTTCTCAGCTATCTGTCCTCTTCTTATTTTTCCCCATAAAAGAGATATCTCCTTAGTCTTTGTCTCAATTCATTTGGGCTGCTATAATAAAATACCATAGACTAGGTGGCTTATAAACAACAGAAATGATCAGTATTAGTGGTATAATGGTGAGCATAGCTGCCTTCCAACAGAAATGTATTTCTCACAGTTCTGGAGGCTGGGTACCGGCAGATTTGGTGTCTGGTGAGAATTGGCTTCCTCATGGACACTGTCTTCTCACTCCAATCTTCTGTGGTGGAAGGGCTAACTAGCTCTCTAGGGCCTATTCCATAAGGACACTCATGAGGTCTCTACCCCATGACCTAATCACCTCCCAAAGGCCATCACCTCCTCAGACCATTGCCTTGAAAATGAGGATTTCAACATATGAATTTGGGGGAGGGACATCAACCTTCAGCCCATAGCAATCTCCTCAGAGACAGCCAGTCCCTTCCTTGCCACACCATACCCGGATTCCTTTGAAATTGCTGAAAAATCTGGAAGAAAGGTTTAAAGAAGAGAATTTCCAGAGGCAGCACCAAATCCC